AGATATCAACGCTTTGACATTGGGGCAGCTGGGTTCTTAAACACACCGAGTCAGGTGACAGCGTACAGTAACAGAATGCAAAATAAGCATAATACATAACATAATATGTGTTCTACAGTTTTCACAACTGCTAGTAAGTTTTTTCAGTACAAGTTCTGTTTGGACCCAACCACCAACAGGTTTTCCCATGATTTAAATATGCTCAGTGATGATCCTTCCAGAATTCTTTCATTCTTCTCTCATTCAGTCTCAGTCTTTAACCAAACTGCGCATGTCCTAAAGTATGAATCCTCACACACTGTTACAGAACACTTTAGACGAACTGCAGAACCAACATATGCAGTGTGATCAACCAGAAATACTGTATCCAACAACACCACAGCCAAATAACGATACTGTTATGGAGTCAAACTGCTGGGATGGTGAGTACCACAGGCTGATCACAGCTCAGTCCAGCCCACATAGCGGACGCATCTATGAGAGAGGGTCACGGTCTGAGTTCTTTAGTTCTTTAGTTCACATTAGACGGAGCATACAGGCACAGAGCCATACAGAGTAGAGCTTACTCTGTACGATGGAGTCAGCAGAGGGGTCATCAGGCGTGATGTGGAAGTGGACGAGACCGTGCGGCCGGACGATGCCAGAGCATCCAGTGTCTGTCGAGTTTTACTGTACTAGAATAATGTAAAGAAGGATTGGAAGGATGTGTGTATGAAGTGTGTGACCTATTGCGCCCATCTGCAAACATACTGCCAGCAGAGAGACGTGTAAATGCAGTGTATCTGTTTATATCTATGAGCTTGATGAGCGAGTGAGATCACAGACCATTAGTTGTAACATGTCAAATAGCATCGTAGCAGCAGGAATCATCATTGATCTTTAGGTTCAGACATAAAAAGTGTTTTTTATTGTAAGTCAGTAATTCTTTGGAAAACCCTGCCAATGAAACCAGTTACTCTAAGCACAAACAGGTCAATATGACTGGTAACCCGAGAGAGAGAGAGAGCGAGAGAGAGAGAGAGACTGTAAATGATCTCTCCGGCTTGTTCCTGGTTGTTATTGGGGGGTGACACTCTAGCTCGGTTCTCTCTGGTGGTCCAGCATCGTAATAGAACATTTTAGCACCAGACAAACGTCAGGAAGCAGCACTGTGAGTTATCAGTCACACTTCACTGTCCTGACCATTTCAGCTAAAGCTGTTCACTGAAGAAACACCAGGGAATCATGGGATAATTACACACTTTATTTCATACAGAGGAGTATAACAGTAATAAATAGCAGATAAATAAAAGCCATAAAAAGCTCTCATACCTTTAAAAACACTTCACACTCAGCACTTTCACAAAGACAGAATAAAACCCTGCAGGAACAGCAGCACCAGTGCATTCTGGAAACTGTGGTCCAGTTAAAGAGCTGTAATGCTGGATTCCTCCAGTTTAGGAGGGTTCATGATGACCAGCCCCCCCTAAAGTATTTATTGGGCCCCTCATATTTATATTATATTATTACTGAAACCCACGATTCACAGAGAGATCCAGTTTCTCAACCAGCTTCCCAACACATTCATCAACACGGACAGAAAGAAATGATGACCATTTATGTCCGGAAAGGCCTGCGGAGAGCCGCGGACCAAACTGCGGAGAACCGCGTTGCTTGAGCCACAGACCAAACTGCGGAGAGCTCGGAGGCGGAGCCAAATTTCTAGGACTGCGCTGTTCGGGGATCGAGCCTGACTATCTGCACTGCTGGCTGCCCGGAGTATTTATGCTGCATGAGGGTCGCGCTGTTCGGGGATCGGGCTCAAACTCCCGGAGGCTCGTGCTGTTCGGGGATCAGGCTCCGACCTCCAGAGCCTCACGTTGTTCGGGGATTGGGCTCAGACCTCTCGAGGTTCGCGTTGTTCAGAGATCGGGCTTAGACCTCCGGAGCCTCGCATTGTTCGGAGATCGGGCTCAGATCTCGGGAGGCGAGCATTTTTCAGAGGTCGGGCTCAGACCTGAGAGATCCTGAAGAGTTCCTGAGGCTAGCGTTGTTCAGAGATCGGGCTCAGACCCCGGAAACCCGCGCTGCTGGAGGTGAAGACCAGAGATCTTGAAGAGCTCCTGTTCTGCAGGCACTCAAGACGAACCGCAGCTCATCCACACAAGAAGTGTCAGCACTGCTGGCTGGCCGGAGTATTTATTCTGCGCTGTCCAGGGATCAGGCTCAAACTCCCTGAGGTTCGAGCTGTTTGGGGATCAAGACTGACTCCCGGAGGCTTGTGCTGTTCGGAGATCGGGCTCAGACCTCCGGAGGTTCGCGTTGTTTGGGGATCTGGCTCACACCTCAGCAGGCTAGCGTTTTTCAGAGATTGGGCTCAGACCTGAGAGGTCCCGAGATGACTCAGCAGTGTTTTTGCAGCTGTAGAGCAGTTTGAGTGTAAAAGATGTGCTAACCTGCTTTAGAAGGGTGTGATGAGTTTTGAAAAAGTGAACTTGTCATGGACGATTGCTTCTGAGTGACTATAAATAATGGTAATAAAAAATAAAAAAAAAACAATAAAAAACTGACCACACACAGACAATCACAGATGTATTAACATGAGGCTTCAATAGAATTAAGAACAGCATAACCTGAAAACAACTGCCATCACCGTGGTACATCGAACACGATTGTGAAGCTATGAGCAGGAAGGAATCTCTGGGTTCCTCTTCAAGTGATGTTGCACACACTTCCAGGTAAGTTCAAGTGCTCTTAGTTGATCATCCAGTTAAAGACAGTATTTACAGCAGTACTGAAGGTTTAAAAACAACATTCATTCCTTTAGTGACTCTATCAGCTCCTCAGCTAAGGTCTTCAGTCACTCATGCTCACAGACTAAAGATCAGTCTGAAGAACATAAATAAATAAATCGGAAACCCATTCACTTCACCGTGCTGGTGTACAGTTAGAGACTGAAGAACATCTGTAGATGTACAGTTTCATTCTCTAGACCTTCATCAATGGTCAGTTTCTGATCACAGAGCTGCTTTTAAAACACACAGTAATTTCAATCTCATGTGGTTTGTCCACTGAAAAGGACAGTGAAATAACTCTGCTATCACATTCTCAGTAAAGTCTCAATAAAGAAACATTGGAGCTGCTTCTGCTGAATGGAGCTCTTCAGCACCAGTTTGTGGAATATCAGTAAATGATCTTGGCAGTAAATGACTTTTTGGTATTTTTATGGCATCACTGTCTGACACTTTGGTGGCAAGTAGGTGTGCAGGTCCCTTTGGTTTCAGAGCTTGTCTAATAATGTCCTATAGACATATAAAAACACTGGGTGTTCTGGACTAGAACTCAGTAGCAGCCTTTAGAGTTAGTTTTAGATGTTTAGAGTTAGACAGAGACTAAAGTAAAGCTCAGTTTGGGCCGCTTACATTAAAGCTCTGTAGATGAAGAGCAGGCAGTGCTGGACTGTCCATATGGCTACACACAAACAGCCGCTCTCACACACAAGCGTTCCATTCGTTTCCACTTGTTCCACAAATTTTAAGACCCAAAAAATCAGTAAAAGAAAATGTGCAGACTTTGCACAAAGTCCTGAAGATGATGTCACACATTTGCACCATACAAGACGAGTCTCTCTCAGCATGTGAGCCTTTATAGTGTCTCAGTAGAGCAGTTTTACAGTCCTCTGTCAGCTGAAGCTCCAACAGTTCAGAGATGCTGGACGGAGCGGAGTGGGCAGTCCTAGAGGACGCAGTGCCACACGTGACTTTTGTTCCCACTACATCATCACTTCTTCTAAAAGATCTGTTTCCTTGACTGTTTTTCATGTTTCTCTTTTATCAACAAACCTACTCTTCCACTTCATCCACAAATAAAAAGTTCTGCGATATTTTCGTGTCATGAGGCACTTCATGGATTTTCGGTCTTTTCCATCCATGTTTTGTTTGCACCTTTTCAAAATCCATTAAAAGAGGATGGAGGAGAGAAAAGTGGATTGAACCAGAAAAAGGCAAAAAAGAGAGATACTGATTAGTGATGATCTCTCACAGTTTCGGGGTCATTACTGGAGGGGGACAGTCTTACTTCTTCTGGATTGTAGTTCCTGTTTCCACTCATTTCAAGATGATTGCTTCTATTCTTCATCTGGAGCTGCTGGTTTTCTCTCCTCAGCCACACAGTCACCACTACTAACACCACAATCACAGCTGCAAGTGCAGTGACCACCAGTGCAAAAACCCACACTGGAACAGCAGCTCCTTTATCTGTGTCCACATCTGGATGGTCAGCTGCAAAACAGACAGACACAGATTTGTAATACAGTGAATTTAACTAAACACCACCATTAAAGCTCAGCAGCAGATTCCTGCTCAATGAACTCTGATTGGATAAACAGAGAACTATGGTTTAACAACATACCCTTTAATTCACTTCCACCTGCTGACCCCACGGTCACTGTGTAGATGTGAATGGCCTCTTCATTCTTTTTGTCCATTACAGTATAAACTCCACTGTCAGGTGGAGTCACTCCTCTCAGCTCAAGAACAGCAGATACTCTCCGTGTGTATTCAGGTTTACACTGTAGTGACCGTCCATCCACTGTACAGATCTGACCACTGGATGGTCCAGCTGCCCCTGTGCTGTTATAAATCACCTCCACTTCTTCTGGTATCTCCAAATGCATGATCAGAGGTTCACCGGGCTTTATCTGTGCTGAAGTACGCAATGCTGAAGAAAAAGTGAACTTCATTAGTCTCAGTCTCAGGCATTCTTTCTGTCTACCACCATTTGTGTGTGTGTGGTAATGTGTGGTAGGATGTAGTGCACACTTTGCGGTCATAAATTTCATTTGTTTCTGTTTTTATAGAACAGTTTGTGGTAGGTTTGTGGTTTATTTTGAATTTTTTCTGTCATCAGCCAGGAACCATGTGAGTAACCACACCACTGCAGTGGAGTTAGACTGGGTCACACACTGTTAGGCTGTGCAGCACTGCAGTGGAGTTTGACTGGGTCAAACACTGTTAGGCTGTGCAGCACTGCAGCGGAGTTTGACTGGGTCAAACACTGTTAGGCTGTGCAGCACTGCAGCGGAGTTTGACTGGGAAATTGTGGATGTGTATGTTTTGTTTGATGCTGTTTGTAGTTTGTTGTAATTGTAACTCATCCTTGGGTTTGAGAATTGTGCTGCAAAAACGAAACCATTATTGTTATTTTTTAAACATCACACAAAACAATGGTCTGTGGTCGGTTACCTTCCGTATCAGTGCCAAATAATTTTGTGCAACTGGCCTTTTGATCAGCTCTATACAAATCTGAAGCACTGCATCTAAATCACTGGGGTTCTATAAGCACTACAGAGTAAAGAAAACAGATAAACACTTACGCAGAATCAGAAGCTGCACCTTACAGAGACCTTTATCATCACAGTCACACATGTACAGGGCTCTCTTAGTGAAATCAGCGTCGGTGATGGTGAGAGAGAGATTCCCCTTCAGGTGCTGATCATGAATCATCTGATATCCCTCCTTTGATCCACATGAAGTCTGATCACACTCAGCCAGAACATCAGTGGGATTACTGAACACAGTCCATCTGACCAAACCAGAGCATCTCTCAGAGCAGGGCAGAGTAGCAGAGTCATGGAGATTGACCTTCACTTTCACTAAAGGAAGAGCTGATTCAGACAGACAGAATAAAACAAAGGAGAATTGTGTTATAGCTGATGTTAAACTCTTTCTTACGTTCTTGAAAATCCTCAAGTCAGTTGAATGAAGTGTTTGTACTCAGCTGATCACATTCTAGTCATAAAAGTCATTACAACACAGCCTCACAGAGTGATGAAAAGGCACAACTCTCTTATAAAAAGTCTTTTTTTTACTTTCCTCATTAAAATGGTCACAATGTTTTGGCCTGTGTTGTGAAGGCAGCACCTCAACTCAAACTGTTTGACCCCAACATTTGCTTTTTTGTAGCCTACAATCTCTTTCAATATAGTATGTGTGTTCAGAAGATGTTTACATGGTTATTCTGGGTTATTAGCAGTTATTTGCTGGTTTTATTCTGACAAGGACTCTTATTCTGAAGGCAGACCAGCGGCCGAACTGTGTTTATGTTTGTACAGCAGCAAGAACTCGGTCTGTTGGGGTCACGGGCATAACCAAAGACTCTCTCCCCACCCGGGGAGGATATTGGATTGAACTAATGCTTGAGCTAGCTGTTAGCCCAAAGCCCATCTGTGTATGGCGAAGGTGTGGCCAATACAGCTGTTAATAAAAGCACAACTCATTGTGTATAAGGTAAGGTACAATAATTATTTTACTTCTGATGCCATTTCTTAAAGAAAATCAACCCCACAAAACAAAATGAAGGTAAATTCTTTAAGATCTTAATTTCATAAAGGAGACCAAACAGAACACCTCCACACTTACAGGTAGTGATCAGACATGATGTGATCAGCAATAAGGGCAGCATGTAGTGACCAGTCCTGCAGGAATTCATGGTCTGACTGTTAAAAACAAACAGCAAATTTCAAATATTTATCATATTTGGTGATAAAAATGCACATTCAAACACAGAAAATGTCCTATTGAATGTTGAAAGCTGAATGTTCTAGGCATGAACGGTCCATGTTTGATTCTTTAGTCATCTATTTTCAATTCAGAAACTGAATTGTTATTTCAATTTTGTTCCAAAGTCCAAACATAACAAATGAAACCAAGTCATGTCCATTTTTAGAGCAGACTGAAAATTTTAAAGTGACTAAAATTTCTGACATAACTGGAAAACTGATAAAGCGTCCTAATAATCTGACCACAACATGTCAGATGTAAACAGTGATAACAAAGACAGTCCAGTGGTAACTGTGGAGGTGCCAGCGCTAGCTTTGGTAGCAGGCTAACACCCAGGACAGGTTGGATTAAGACTGAAATCTGAGAACTGTGATGAGTGGCTGGTGTTGGAGTAACAGCTATGGATGTAGTGAAGGATAAACACACATAAATGCAGTTTACGTCCTTTTAAAATGTGAAACAGCAAACGTCACTCGATTTTTTGTAAGAGTTTACTAGGTTACTGCTAGTTTACTTGTATTTTTTACTGTTTAAAAAGGTGAAAGTTGACAGTTGTTTCAGTGAACACAGCTGGAGACACTTCACCTTCACCTCCTCCTTCCATCCTTCTCCACCTCCTAGTTCCATTCACTTATGCTTGGAGCTGCTAATTTTAGAAACTCTGAAAGTACCAGTTCCTCGGCTGTTGTGTGTGTGAACACTAAATCATCTATATTTTAATGAAATGAAGTGAGCTTGGTCAAATCTAACTTAACATAAAGCAGACGTACTTGAAAATATTCTATATATTAGAACTCAGTGGAGTTTTAATAAATTATAACTATTTATTTTGAATATTAAAACTTTTGCATTTGTTTAAGCCTCAATATGGAAGGTGTCGTATTATTATAGTCAGCTGCTGGAATCAGAGCAAACACTGTACCTGCAAAACCACCAATTCACATTATTAACAACAAACTTATATTAATGTGATACCAATGATGGTGGTATTACATTTTAAGTGTGATGCGTTTTTGAATAATTATGTTGCATTAAATTTATTTAGGGGCAAGAGGTCACACGGACACACAGCACCTACAACAACAGCCCAAAACTAATACATACCACAGGCGAACTGAGCTGACGGTCGCGCCCTTTCCGCGCATGCGTGTTACGGGACATGTCCTCTCGACCAGAAGCACAGCGCTCACACTAGACTGTGGACTAGACCTCGCGGAAAGGCGAAAGGAGTCTTAACCGTTTAGTCCGTACTGACCGCTAATGAGTCGCTCACAGGACTGACTACAGTCTACAGTGGACCAGATCTGAAGAGCTGAAGAAGACCGGAGTGAAAGATCAGAGACTGGCCGGACCTTAATCTCCTCTGATCTCCCTCAGCGCCTCCCCGGGAGCTTTTTAGTTCATGGAGGAAAAAGCTGAGAGCTGAACTCGGGTAGATCAGCCATCAGCGTCGTTTACATTTTACTCTCTATCTGCTTCAGCGTCGTCGACTGCTCGGCCGTGTCTCAAATAGCTCGCTAAACCCTGTAAAGTGCACTATGTTAGCATAGTAATTCGGCTTCTTCACTCTAACAGTGCACTGTGAGCAGATTATCACTGGGCACAAGGTAAACAGCTCTTTGTTAGACAGATTATGCGCTGTTTGAGACGTTCTATTCAAAAGTACGTGGTGCACTACGTAGGCAGTGTGGAGCCATTTGAGATCCACAAAAGTGAAAGTAAAATCTAGTCGAAAGCTAAATTTGACCTTTTCTCCTTTGTTTATCTTCGTTAAATGGCAGATTTTATTTTTCTCCCTTGTTTAGCTTCGTACGGAGCCCCTGAGAGGACATGGTGTATTTTTTTTTGGGTGAAAGGGACGTGGTGTTGTTAGGTAAAAATCTGGTGCGCACTGGATACTATCACGTGAGCACCAGATACTATCAGGTGAGCTCCAGATACTATCAGGTGAGCTCCAGATACTACGTGGTGAGCACCCAATACCATCTAGTGAGCACTTGATACTATGTGGTGAGCACTCCATACTATCAGGTGAGCACCCAATACTATCAAGTGAGCACCAGATACTATGTGGTAAGAAAAAAAAATACATATATACATAAACAGTGTCAGTGTTCACTGGCAACAGGTGGCACAAGAACAAATAAAGCTACTTAAAGATGATAACCTAAGCTTATTTGTTCAGACAGCTATACAAACCTTAACAATTTACCTATTTGTACCTTTAAAAGAGATAGAGCTAAATGTAGGCTGCCTTTGCTATATACAGTTAGCTATAAATTATGTAAAAAGTCCCAGCTGCTGAATGAGGTGCTCCTTTCACTTTTCCAAAATGGAAGGTAACCCAGCCAATGGAATCGTTTATCCGTTTTGCGAGGAGCAAAAGTTCTCTTTGTCACTTAAACTTGAAGACATTTTGCCCAGTCGCTCATTTTTGTCGCGGGTGTGTATAGTTTTAATGCCAAAACATGCATTGCGAAGAGAACAATTCAAACCTTATAGCTAGCTAGGTTAGCTAGCTAACTGAATATAGCAAAGGCAGCCTACATTTAGCTATATCGCTTTGAAAGGGACAAATTGGTAAATTATTAAGGTTTTTATAGCTGTCTGAACAAATAAGCTTACGTTATCATCTTTAAGTAGGTTTATTTGTTCTTGTGCCACCTGTGGTGACTCTAAAAAGTCATAAATGTCTTCTTCCATGACGGAATGACAAAGGATAACAAGCTCAGCCGGTGTACAGAGTAGTGGTCTGTGAAGTCATGATACTATGGAGCCCAATGAACACTGACACAGTTTATGGATATGCAGATGCACACATGCACACTTTTTTCTTTCTCACCGTAGTATCTGGTGCTCACCTGATTGTATCTGGTGCTCACCACATAGTATCTGGTGCTCACCACATAGTATCTGGTGCTCACCACATAGTATCTGGTGCTCACCTGATAGTATCTGGTGCTCACCACATAGTATCTGGTGCTCACCACATAGTATCGGGTGCTCACCACATAGTATCTGGTGCTCACCTGATAGTAACTGGTGCTCACTAGATATTTACCTTAAGAAAAAAATACACCATGTTCCTTTTACCTAAAAAAAAAACACACCATGTCCCTTCAGGGGCTCCATAGCTTCGTTAAAGTACAGATTTTATATTTTCTCCCTTGTTTAGCTTCGTTAAAGTACAGATTTTATATTTTCTCCCTTGTTTAGCTTTGTTAAAGTACAGATTTTATATTTTCTCCCTTGTTTAGCTTTGTTAAAGTACAGATTTGTTTTTTTTCTCCCTTTTTTAGCTTCGTTAAGTACCAGATGTGTAATCATTCTGTTTTCTAACTGTGACTTTATTTTGCTTGTCTAGTTACAAGACAAAACTAACTACCCAGTCTCATAAAACCTGATATAATGATGTTTTAGTTGAATAAAATCACAATTTTACAAGCAGCTGCAGTCTGTCATATTTATTATTAACTTATTTGTTTTATTAAAAACTATTTAGAAAAATATTTACGCTAACCTGGCCGCTAACCTGGCCATCTCCACCAGCTGGTACTTATTCCTAATAGATATGAATGAATTTTTAGCCGTGTCTGTTTTGTATTAGATAAAATTTTGCGTTGTATACTCACAGTTTGTGGTGCTGGACAGAGGGAACACTGAGACGTCGCTATCCTGAGTGAGGTCTGAGGAATCTGCTCTGATCTAAGAGGTGAACTGAGGTCTGGAAAGATGCCTTTTATAATGCCGGTATAGTCAGTGAAGAGGAAGTGGTTACAGCTCTAGCTCTGTGTCTGCTGCCTTTAGGAAGCTTTAAGGAGCTACTGACAGCCCCAAAATTTCCCAGTTTCCCAGAAGGGGCAGTGCTGACCAGCACTCACAAGACCCAAATATGACAATACTGTACACTTTCTAACAAATAAGTCTCTGTTGATGTTTGGACAGAATCAACATATACATTATGGCTGTAAATGATAAGACACCACTGAGAATATACTGTATATCACTTTTTAAAGTGCTGCTCTTAAAATGTTTACAAAACACTGTAATGATAACACAGTGTAAACATGGTTTATCAGTTCTACCTAAAAAAAGCCTCCATTTGGTAACGAGTAAGTGAATTCAATTTACTGGACCCTAAATAAATACTCTGAATGAACGATTCGTTCAGTCAGTCGTTTTGAGCTGAATAAACTAGTTTAACTGCTTAATTGCTGATTTCCTTGTAAAGCTGCCTTGTGACAACACCTGTTGTAAAAACTGCTATATAAATAAACTTTGCTAGCTTGCTAATTCTATATGAAGGATGTTTAGGTTACAGTACATTGTTTAAAAAGAGCAGATCAAAGCGTTGATGTGGTTATTATTTTTCTTTCTGTAAATCACATGTTTTCTCAGAAATACCGGTGCACTGAAGAACTGTGATGTTCACACCATTTCCTCTTACCTATTTCCTGTTCTGGATGAGAAAGAAACCCTTAACCACACTTAACCACTGGGCACAGGATGTAGATACTATATAAAATCTACCTTATAACATTTCTCAGTTTCAACCTTGATCCAATGTACTGTAATTATAAATTTATATAAGTTTGAATGTATTCATGTTATTTTACGATTAAATAAACAGTAATTTAAAAAATGTATATGGTTAACCCTCCTTATTTGAGGTCACAGGAGCTGGTTTCTTGTGAAAATGATGCTGATGTTTGATCTTGTGACTGGTCCAAGTAGAGAGTCCACTCTCATTTTCTGATACAGCCTGACCCTAGACTGGGTCATAGCGGTCATAAAAAAGTATAGAACTTTCTGTATCTGTACTGTTAGGTGTTCAACAATGTATAACAATACAACATTAATGTAGACCAATCAGAACAAGTTCTGTGTGTTTGTATTTATTTTAATAAATGCAGTTGTTGAATGGGCTGATACAGACTGAGTTTGCCCTGATGGTCTGGAGAGTGAAAGTCTTTTTAAAAGTATAGTTTGACAGTAATTTGTATTGCGTACAACACTATTAATAATAACTAGAAAGGGAAAGTTCGTGAACGAACTTTAAGTTGGCTTGAAAAAGCCAGTTAATGACGTTAAAACGTTAAAATGGTTGAAGACTGTTGATAGTTGTTAAAATGTTGCCAAAATTTTGCTAAGCAAAAGCTGCAGTATCTGTCGTGGATGGTAATTCGTTGCTAGTTGCTACCGTTCCGTGAAGTTCCATCTTAAATTTTGTGCCACCTCAAATTTAGTACTATGATAATTGAAGTTCCACCTTAAATTCAGTGCTAATTTAAAAGCAGTTCCACCTTAATTTTAGTTTCAGTGTAAACTCAGTGCTACCTTAAAAGAAGTTAAAATGGTTAAAATGGTCAAAGTTAAAATGGTTGACGACTGTTGATAGCTGTTGAAATTCTGCCAAAATGTTCCTAAGCAGAAGCTGCAGTATCCGTGGTGGATTTTAATTCTTTGCTAGTTGCTACTGTGAATGAAGTTCCACCTTAAATTTTGTGCCACCTTAATTTTAGTGCTGCCTTAAAGAGAGTTCCACCTTAAATTCTGTGTCGCCTTAAAAGAAGTTCCACCTTAAATTCTGTGCCACCTTAAATTTAGTACTACCTTAAATTATGTGCCACCTTAAATTTAAATTTAATGCTATGTTAATTGCAGTGCCACGTTAAACCAAGTTCCACCTTAAATTGTGTGCCACCTTAATTTTAGTGCTATGTTAATTGAAGTTCCATCTTAAATTCAGTGCTAATTTAAAAGCAGTTCCACCTTAATTTCAGTTTCAGTGTAAACTCACTGCTACCTTAAAAGAAGTTAAAATAGTTAAAATGGTCAAAGTTAAAATGGTTGAAGGCTGTTGATAGCTGTTAAAATGTTGCTAAATGTTAAGCAGAATCTGCCGAATCCGTGGTGGATGGAAATTTTTTGCTAAGTTCTACTGTGAATGAAGTTTCACCTTAAATTTTGTGCCACCTTAATTTTAGTGCTATGTTAATTGCAGTTCCACCTTAAATTCTGTGCCGCCTAAAATTTAGTACTATGTTAATCGAAGTTCCACCTTAAATTCTGTGCCTCCTTAAAGTTAGTGCTATGTGAATTGAAGTTCCACCTTAAATTCAGTGCTAATTTAAAAGCAGTTCCACCTTAATTTAAGTTTC